CACACACACACACACACACACACACACACACACACTTCTATAAATCCTTTTCAGCATCTCCCTCAAAAAATGCATAGCATACTACAGAGGTCTCTCTCTCAATTCTCCCTTAGTGCAACAAGATGTTTTCTTTATTATTGAGAGAGGAAAATTTTCAATTTACTATATTACTTACACTGTGCTAGAAAAAAGGAATCATCATCATCATCATGTTGCCAGAAACATACAACTAAAAGCAGAAGCTCTAGTACTATTACTAACTTACGAGAGATACTACCAAGAAACAACAGGTGGTAAAAGCCCCAGAAGAAGTAGTGTTACCACCTGCTTTTCACAAGCTGCATCTACACGAGTGGCAGGCTGCTCAGTTGTTACTGCAGTCATTTAGTACTTGCTTAACCAAGTACTAAATGACTGGACAATAACTGGCATTACTACACAGTACTGTCACTGCACAGGTTTTTTTAGACACTACTGCTCAGTAGTGTTGCCATCACAATTCGTGCCTGGCAATGCTATAGTGCCATAGTAACAAGCTACAACACAGTAGCTCATTACCACTGCACCATAGCATCTCGTGTACATACGCCCACAGGCAACACTAATGAGCAGCTGTAAAGCCACCAGTAGACAAAGGACTCTGTATCAGTGCTCACCACAGAAACTGCCTGGCAAGACGGTACAAAATGATGATGGGGTCTCACTGTTGCTACATGAAAAATTAGAATGACGGAGGAAAAGTTGCCTCACAGTAGATGATAACAAAAGCAAACATTTTCTTCAATGTTTTTGTGGTATTATCTCATTTTTCCTACATTTATTTAATAGGATAGCAGGTAGAGGATCCTTGTCCAAAGAATGACTTTGTTTTTCATACTCCTCCCACTACCAGTAAAGACAATAAATGACACTAAGTTAAAAAAGGTGAAACCACTGAAAGCCCAATGCCAATCAAGTCTCTTTCTTGCTTTCATTTTCCTTGAGCATGGTGGCATCAAAGGCTTAGAAAACAGCATTTTATTTTTATGTCATCATTTAGATCTGCATATAGAGAACATAACAAGAAATGTTACCCATTTATTAGACTAAACTAATTCTATACTTATCTAGCTTTAACTCATGAAATAGAACTGGAAGTAACATTCTGTGTTTCTCAGCAACTAAATCACACAAACAGTTCTATATTATATCCATTCCTTTCTTATTCAAGTAAGCTGTTTTGGAAGGCCATCATTAATGTGGGGCTGATAACCTAAGCCTGCTAAATGACAAATTGCTGTAAAAAGGAGAAAGCTCCTTAGATCTACTGTGTTCCCTGTATATTCTTTGATCACTACCTTTGATTAAATAAATAAAAAAAAAAATCTTCATAGAGTGAATTACAACCACATCCTAGGTAAGTTTCATTTTGTAGTCTAATAATGCTTTAAGTGTTTTTAAACAGCGTCAAATCCTTGTCACAAGAACGCCTCAGACCATATTTGATCCCCAAGGACTAATGACACAAACTGTTTGCATTATTGGAAAAAATAATGCAAAATATTACAAGGATCAAGGAAAAAGAATGACAATTTTGTTGCATATTAGCATAAGTTTATATGCAGTTTAGTGAATGTGTCAAATTTACAGGAAAATAAGGCAATAAAGAATTTAGTCGCTACTCAAAAGTTCCTGGCACTTTTACTTGCCCAAAGTTATCCTATATTGATCTTTACTTTTAAAGACCATAAAGTTAAGGGATATTTTAATAAAGCATATTCATATATTGCAAAGTGCTTTATAATGTACTTCCTTCTTAGAGTTTAGCAGATGGACAGGCAAACACACTAGCCATTATGTGCTCAGTAATGGCTCATAGTCAGCCTAGCATATTAGAACTTACTTCAATAAGACAGAATGCTGCCCAGAACACTAAATTTACTCTTTAGGTTTTCCAGAAACTTCAGCAGAACAAACACCAAACATCTCAATATAATTACCATGAACACCTCAAAAGCCTTGCCTACATTACTGATGTACTGATTGCAATTGCTGACAATTTCAGAAATCTGAGCGCTGTACTGAAAAGTTAAAAAAAATATATATCAATATCTAATCCAGTAGGCTTACATATTACACCCATATTTTGTATATAGACACGAACCTGAAGTAAGTTTCGGACATACCCAAAGCCCTAGAACAGCGGTTCCCAACCTCAGGTCACGACCCAAATGAAGGTCGCGGGGGCAATGCCAGCAGCGCTGCGCACAAAGGATGAGCCGTGCCATGTGCCAGGACCTGCCCTGCCCCAGGGCCACCACCACCACACTGCCCCTAGCAGCAGGTTGCGACAAAAAAAGGTTGGAAACCACTACCCTAGAACCACGGAGGAAGTTGTGGTCTAGATCTTTCAACATTCATGGAGATTGTGCATAAAACTAAAGATATTACACTCCTAATCCACATTTAACCCAATTCAGCAAAATGCAATAGGTATTGCAAACTGCAGTCAACCACGCTGAGGTACTGCTACCAATAGTTACACTATCATGGATACTCATGTCATGGATAAAACCAAGTAAAAAAATTGTCTCAAAACAAAGTGATAAATAGTAAAACTATATGTAGAGAAGTGCCTTACGTCCTCTTTCCTTATCAATCCTCCCTTCATTTTTTTACCTGTTAATTATAACCTTTCAATCTATAAGAAAATACATAATTATACTAAATAGCTTATTTAATTGATGAATATACACATGTCTACCTATAGCTAGTAACAGTGAAGTCATTCCCAAACAATGGGAAATTTAAACAAATGGACATTATGAATACACATTTTTAAACACTAAAGCACACGCAGTGAAGATATTTTAAAAGTACAAACATAGCCTAGCAAGTTGATTGTTAGTAATACACAAAGCAATGCAAGGATTTTTTTGGTTTTCATTAACTGACATAATGAATTAATTTGATTTGTCATCTCACTTACCCACGCTTGGAGCTATACAACTCCTTCTCTTTCCCTCTGCCCCTCTCCTTCTCTCTCATTTTTTCTTTATCTCTGCCTTTGCGACGTTCTCTTTCACGAGACCTGCTATGAGTTCTTCTATGACTAGATCTTTCACTACTTCGACTGTAAGAACGTTGATGAGGTCTTGATCGTGACCTATGGAAAACATTTACACAGGATTTAAACTCCGCAATTGTGGGGTTTTTTCTACTTACACTGCGTGCCAGAATACTCAGAAACAGTACAAATGATCTGTCCCTAAACTCATTAAATGTAAAGAAATGACAAAGCACCTGAAAAAGTAATCCAGTATCAGTACAGCTATTGGAAAAATTAGAGGAATTCTATTAAAAGCATAGTTTTTTGGCAATATTCAAGTGAGAAGTAACAAAATCACCGTTCCAGTATATATCTGGTTTAAAGCATCATAACCAAAGTGATAGTCATGATTTCATTTAACATATTTTTAAATGTTTTAATCATTTGAGGTATAAGTGGGTATATAGCTATGGTATAAATCAGAGGTTCTCAAACTTTTTTTTCATGGACCACTTGAAAATTGCTGAGGGTCTCGGTGTACCACTTAAACTTTTTTTGTTCTACAAAATCAAAGCACACAACTCATATTTTAATATCAATAGTCTTACCTTTCTAATGCAATGGCTGTGCCTGTTTTTTTGAGCAAAGTTCTAGGAAGTCAGGTGTAAATGTCAGCTTTAGCCTTAGGTCACCTTTCTGCAGACCACCTGAATGGAGCTCGTGGACCAGTGGTGGTCCACGGATCACAGTTTGAGAACCTTTGGTGTAGATCATTTAGGAAAATAATTCCTAAATGTCATTGTTCTCCCAGGAGAAATCTTAAATGTACAGATGTTCAGGCTTTTCCTCCTAGAGTAAAAATGGCTGCTCCAAGAGAAAAAAAAACCTGGGAACACCCAGAGTTAAGAAACTCTTGAAAATTTCTTCTGGGAGAACAAATGTCTGCACATGCTGTGGCTTTTCTCACAAGAGAACATGGTCCTCCAACATCCCACACCCCACTTGATCATATCACTCCTCAGACTGCTCCAGCAAGGATCAGAACATGCCTCTTTCACAATCCCCATACTGTGCTGCAGGGAAACAAGCTGACCATGGGAAGTCTGCTAAAGCTGCCCTAAACACTGCTGCCATCTGTTGCCAGGTAGACTAAGGAAGTCTGCAGAGCATGCCAAGATGTGTGCACAGGGCACCCCCAGGCTGCATAGTGTCAGCACTTCAGGGACATGGGATCCAAATGTCTGTAAATGCAGCTCTGGATAAGTTTCTTTATCAGGGTAACAAACCTGAAAGAATTATCACAGATTATTTCAATGTGTGCACACAACCAGCAATTCCCAACCAGGATGCCACAGCACCCTGGGGTGCCTTGAGATGCTTTCAACTGTGCCATAGTGGGGGAAGAGAGGTAGGGAGGGGAGGTTTTCCTGCACCAGTGCTGAAGTCAGCTAGCTGTGACCATACTGTGGCTTCTTCTTCCCACCCCTGGTCCCTGGCTGCATGTGGGCTCAGCTTCCAAGTGGTGGGAGGGTGCAACAAGCCTGGGGAGCTACAACACACTATCCATATTGCCACTGCTTCTCTCTACTCCACTCCTCTGCACTTCCCAGCCACAGCTCCCTATGGGCTGGAAGCTACATCTGCACTGCAGTCAGAGGGAGGTAGAAGTGGGAAGGACAGGCAGCAAAGCAAGGGCAGCTAGAAGGCCCCAAAATAGCTGCTATACCTGGACCAAGGCCAGGCAGAAAGGGGCAAGGGGAGAGAAATCGTAGCAGCACAGGAGCAGCTACAAGGTGAGGGTGGAGAGGGATGAGTGGAGAAAAGCAGTGGCAGTATGGACATAACTTGCAGCTCCCCAGACATGATGCAGCCCCACCACTGCCTGGAAGCTAAGAACACACAGCCAAGGAGTGGGGTAGGAGCTGGGATAAGTGATGGCAACACAGGTACAGGCAAACCCTTGAATTCCAAGGGTCAGATCTGGGCCATGAGACATGCTGCCAACCCCTGGCATATACTGGGTTGGGTGGGGATGAAATAACACATTACAAAACTTCACTATCATTCAGTATAAATAAAATAAATAAATTGCTTTAAAATAAAACAACCAGCAAGATGCAATATTTAAATAGAACATGCAGAAAAGTAATGCCTTCTCAAAACAGCACAGGGCTGCTTCTCACCAGGGCCCAGACTACTGCTTTCATGAGAGTGAAAAAAAGTTTTCCAAAACCTGACTAGCCATTTTGGGAGAAGAGAATAGCTGTTGCCATCACACTAGAATGAGGAGGAAGCCAACAGCAAACTGTATTAGAGGACCTCTTTAGATGTTCAGATAAACATGTGATAGGATCTGATGTGAGATCCACACAATCAAGCCTCCTGTCAGGCTACACATGCATGGCAGGAGGCATGATTGTGGTATCCAACATCAAATCTAAATCATGCCTTATTGCTAGTTCAGGGATCGAGATCCAAAGCTCTCCCCAAGATCTCCACACTGCCCCTGCTGTGAGCCCCACAGGCATGTGCCTGCATTTATGGAATGAAAAGGGAATGTCTATCCACCTCCAAATCAGTTCAAGCTTTGCAAGTTATACTAACCTGCAAAGATTGAATCAATTCAGGCTTAGGCTTTTTTAATGTATGTCCCTAGCTACAGAAAAAAATTTAAAGAGGAAACTGCAAAGTTTTAAAGTTAGTTATATTCAGGGATCAGAGTTTTCCATTTCCCATGGAAAAATGGAAAAAACACAGATTTTTCACTTTTGCAAAGAGCTCTCTGCAAGCTGGCAGAGTTCCAGCCTGCAAGGGGCTGCAGGGAACAGGAGGAGGACGGTCAGGCAGGGGGCACCATATGTATGTGCATGCTCATGCAGTCACATGGCTAGGGGTAGCCTGGAGACCAGCTTTCACAGGTAAGTCTGGAGACGGGGTGAGGGGGGATTGAGGTCCCCACTGGGAGAGAGAGAAGGAGGTGGGAACAACTGGGACTGGTGCCCAGGCTGGGTGGTGCGTTGGGCTTGGTACCCAGGGAATGCATGGCCACAGGGCCTTGCCGGAGAGCAGGATAGAGCTGTAGGCAGCTTGTCTGGGGATGGGGCACGGGGGTGAGGCTGGCTCCCCACTGCTGTGTGCACTGCCAGGGTGAGCAGGGGGTGATATGTGTGCAGGGTAGGGGCAGGCTGCCCACCGCAGGTTTGGGATCACCACCCTGCTGCCCTCCCCCTGGGGCCTCCACAGCCCAGTGAGTGGGACCTGGTACAGCAGGGCCCAGAGGAGCCGGACAGGGGAGCCCCTTGCCCCTGCAAGCCCTGCGCTGCCCTGGTGAGGTGCCCCCTGCACACCCAGCAGCAGCAGGGATGGCAGTGTGGAGCTGTGCTCCTCACTGCAGCCAGGCAGGCAAGGTGTACCTTGCCAGGGTATCATGGAGCTCCCAGTGGCAACACTGAGCTTCCCCACCCAGCCCTGCTACATTGGGTCCCACCTGCTGGACCATGGAGGGCAGCAGGGCAGGGACCCCAAACCCGCCGTGGGCAGACCACAACAACCCACCAGCTCCGCTCCAGCTGTGCCACCCGTAGGGGAGGGGGAACGAAACCACCACAGCAGCTGCCAGGTTTTGGGTGCTGCTGCAGGGGCAGGGGACTGCGGACCCAGGTCCTTAGCCCCATAGCCCTGGCAACTTAAAGCCTCCTTTAGCAGGGCTAGGGGGTGGGGACTATGGCACCTCACACCCCACAGTGAGGCTGGACTGAGAGGCTGTGGGTGAGAAGTGAGGAGCCTGGATATGCATGCTGGTAAGCTAACAAGGCAGGAAGAGCTCCAATTTTCCATGATAAAAAACCCAAAATCAAATACCAAAATTTGTAGGTACTTAGAATATATTTTATTATAGTGACTGAGGCTTCCAGATTGCTTTGAACTTGCAAATATATCAATAAAGCATTGTGTTTAATTGATCTCTCTATAGATATAGTGGCATTTCATTTTAATTGCGGATTTTAGGGGGTTTAAATCAGAGAATTTGCATTTGTATCAGAGAATTTGTAATTTTTAAACAGAGAAAACCAGGATCCCTGGTTATCTTAAGTTCCCTTATTCAGCAAAGACTACTATTTTGTCCTGTATATCAGCACTGTCAGCAGCAGCAACAACTAAAGGGGGTTTTTTTGAGACATCTTGGAAACAGAAATCAAAGAGTATTTTATCATCTGACCTCAAAAAAAAAGTGTTGGTTTTGTTACTTACAGCAAAACACTAATTTTGTGTAATACAGGAATGCTTAATGTAAAAAAATCATGGACTAAGGCTAGTCAAGCCGACTCTGGGCTAGGATTTCATAAAGTGAATGGAGCCGAGCTTGTGTTTGGAAGAGATTCCAGTAAAGAAGAAATGGTTTGAAGGGTGGGGCTGAAAACAAACTTTTACAGAAGACATGAAAGTGAGGATCCTTTACCACTTCTGGTCATAAAATGCAATGTTTAAAAAACAAGAAGGATTAACTCCAGTGTCTTGGGCAAAGTATAAACTCAATAAAGTGCACTTGTACTAAGGCAAAAAGAAAAAAAACCCAAACTGGTAAAGTTCCCAAATTCCACTGAAGAGGTAAATAAAGCGTAGCCAGTCTGTATGAAGTTGAAAGTTATTCTCATCTTGGGGACTTTTTTTATTGATAAGTATTCCCACAGCATAAACTACAGCCTAAGCTTTCCCTCTATCCCTGCAGGACCACAGTTTCCCAGACCATAGCCAATTTCCTCCATCCTTAAGGGAGGCTCCAATCTTTGGTTAAAGCTAATTAAATCCACCTGTTAGTATAACTCATCAGCTTTTCCACAACACAGTATGCATGGTTCAACCACAACCATTCAAAAGTGAAACTATGAATCCCAATGTAGTCCTGTAGCATATCAATCTATTACACCCCTCTTTAATTAAATTCTGAAAGGGCATAACCTTTACATTTTATCTAAATCTGTTGGACAACAGCATGTGACCATGTAAAAGATCATCACCAGACATACCTAGGGACAGAAATAAGGCTGCATGGTATGAAATTGCGTTACATTTCCTAAAAGGCAAGTGTGTTTGACTTCGTAAGCAAAATACATTTT